TTGATAATAAATCGACATATATATATATATATATATATATATATATATATATATATATACATATATATATAATATAATACTCTTAATAACAGTACCAATTAAAGATCAAACACATGCATATAATGAGTTCCTGTTTTAGACTGAGAATCTTCAAAAGTGTATCATTGTGTAATTTTGCTGAACTGTACGGTGGCATGATAATACTGTATTAATAATAAACCCGGTGTAAAGACTTCACTTGTGAATCTGCATATGCTCAGTCAGGCTGGCCTCATAACTTTCTATCTACTTTACTAAACAAGTAATTCCCCACAAATGTAATTTGAAGGGGTGTTTTTGTTGGTTGTTGCTTGGTTTAGCAGGGTCTGAGTACAGCAGAATTGCTTGTAAAGCTGATATCTGTCCACTAAAGTTCTGCTATTCATAAAGCATCATCATCAGCTCTCATAATGTCTCACACACCCATCAGTTTCATTAAAAAGCTGACGTCTTTACACAAACAATACGTACTTGTCCTCTCTCCTTTTTTCACTCTGTTTAGTCAGTTTAGGACTTTTGTCTTTGTGTAAAGTCTTGTGTGTGTTTGTCTGTGACTGATCAGCGGTTGTGTGTGTGTGTTGTCAGTGTGGTCAGAGCTGGATGAGCTGGATGAGGTGGAGGCCGCTGAGTGTGTGTCCATTGAGGTGGTTCCTCCTACACCACAGAGCAGAGTCCTGTCGACACCGGCTCCGGCTCCTCCGAGAGCAGATCTGCTCACTCCGGCTGGGGAAGCAGCAGAGAACTCTAGATCCGGTTATCAGATCAGTCCTGCTCCTGTAAAACCCAACAAGTTAAGCTAACTCATTTCATTTGAGGAAACCGATTGCCTCTATTCAATAAAGTTTATAAAAACAATAGTTATGAGTGAACTTATTTTATGATTTTTCGAGTCCACTAAAACAATAATATTTCTGGTAACACTTTATTTTGATGGTCCCTTTTGAACATTCCGTTGAACTTTGCAACTACATGTCAAATAACTCTCAATAGAGTATTAGTAGACTGTCTGCCAACTCTTTATTGTGTTGCTCCTCCAGCAGACATTCTACTGACTATAAGTAACTTCACAACTACATGTTCACAACTTATCCCTAACCCCAGGGCCGGATTAACCTTTAGTGCAACTGGTTAAAAATATTCAGTGGCAATCGGGAGAGTCGGGAGTTTCCCAGGTGGGCCGGTAGTGTTTCGAGGCCGCGAGGGAATAAGTGCAATAAGTGCCTGTCTTTAATCAAAAAAGACGTTGTTCACGTCACAGCTGAAGTGGCGTAGGTCGTAGCGCGCAAAGCGCGTGAATCAGCTTTTGATGTGCTTGACGCGAGTTTGAATCCGCCTTTTGCCGAAGTCTCCCTTTTCCCAACTCATACGAGATGTAAAATGTATAACCTAACATAGGTCTCTAGCGTTATATTTTGCCAACAAACTAAAATCGAAACCATGATATGGATTTTTGCCTTTATAAAACAGCACAAGACTTTAAGAATATGCATCCTGTTAGTGCTGGGTGAATTAAAGAAAAGTGTGCACTTTGCTCACGCGATCATCATGGTCATGGTGCTTTCTTCTAAATACAAGCTCAAGGGTTTATTTCTTGCAAGTGAAGAAATAAGGACAAAAGTATTTTAATTTTACTATATTATAGTGTAATGTAGACTAAAATATAGGCTACTTTGGAAATATTCATTTTCACCCCTAAATATGATGAAAACTGGCTGTAAAAAATAATTCTGCATTGTTTATCCTTTTGATCTTCCATTCAAAAAATTGGCAAAATTCTAACCTTTCATTGAAGCAAAAGAATTGAAAGTGGGGGTAAATCACACTATGAAAAAGGTTTTTCTCCAAAACATAAACAATGCAGAATTATTTTTTACAACCAGTTTTCATCATATTTACCAAGGGGTGCCATTAATTTTGACCATGACTGTAGTATATTTATAAGCTTTATGGATTTTACGTCATAGGAATAATTATATAAATTATTTTTTACATTATTATAATAATTGTTTGGGATCCTAAAATACCATTGATAATATAAGACTGAGACTCTATAAAAAGATAAAGATTTAGATCTCTAAAAAGATGTTTGAGCCCTGTTTATTGTCCTGGTACAAATCAATGCGTTTTCTTTGTTCAACGAGCAGTTCATGGGTTGAAGCTCTTAATTTTGATCTCTCAAAGAGCATGAGACTGATGCATTTATCCTTAAAATGCACTGTAAAAAATGATTTTTTGGTTAAGTAAATACTAGTGAAAAAACCCAATGTAATTTACTTGAAAAAGTTAGTTCAGGCAAGAATTTAAAAAACTAAGTAAATTTCATATCAGTACTTATTTCAAGCGAGTATAAATGAAAGTGTAATATCAACTCAATAAAATTAAGTAAAAATTACTCAACTTTTCTGATGCTGGGGTTCCCATCATGCACTGGACCTTGAATAATTAAAGAGGCTCATTTTTCACTGGTTTCCAGCTGTATTTACACTGTTTTATCATTGATTTTTGTTTTCAGTATTAGTAACTTGCCATTTTGTGACATTTCGAGTAAATTTTTTGCTTAAAACGACACATTCAAACACAAAAACGATCCATCAAAGGTTACCACCATGTCTACCAAGTATTGAGGTGTTTGCATTCATAAAAGGCTTAAAGTCTGACATGATCTATATATAAATTACTTAGATGATCTAAGTAAAGAACATACTATAAATGACTAATAAAATTCAAGATAATTGTTTTAGTGAAGTGTAATACAAAGGCAAAGGAAATCGGTATTAATCAACCTTTTACAAGCCGAGTAAAAATTACTTATTTTTTGTAAAGTTTACTCAATTCCACATTCCAAGTAAATTTAACTTAAAGATTTCTAATTAAAGCTACTGATAAATATGTTTAGGTTTTTACTTGGCAAATCTTTGTAAATTTACTAGCATTTTCTGAGTGAGATCGTTTAGCAAGGTTTTTTCAAGTAAATCCTACTCCAAATTTAAAATTTTCTTGCGGGGGAGCATGTCCCCGAACCCCCCTATAGGAACAGTAAATCAGTAAAACTGTAAATGCTACATTAAGGGTCCACCCAACATAGTTTTACAAATTCCTGTAGGAAAGAACAACCATTTATGAACTTTACTCCAGCGTAGTTCAACAAAGTTAATTTTAAGTCAGGAAAACTGTAAATGCCATATTAAAATGTCCTTGGACAAAATATATATTTGGCCTGCCTAAGAGGGGGCCCACAAAACATTGTGCTCAGGGGCCTCTGAACTCTTAATCCAGCCCTGCCTAACCCTACCAGTCTACTAATACTCTACAAACAATCTGTTGAAAGTTAGTAGAGATGTAGGTGCAACGTTACTTATAGTCAACTAAATGTGTTAAAGGGACCCTCCAAATAAAGTGAAACCATAGTTCTTAATAAACAATTAAACTTTACACTGAATTAAAATACTTTATATTGCTGAAACTTAACTATATTGAGTAAAAACAGTGAAATGACCAACTTTTAATGAACTCAGAGCACTTTCAGGTACTGCTAGCTCACAATCACATACAGTCAAACACAAGATAACTCATTACATTTGAGGACACCGATTGCCTTAAAGGTCTCCTGACATGTGGTTATTTTATTATTTTATAATGTTTCCTGGGTTGCCCTTATAATGTAGATCAAAAATAGTCATAATTTAGAATTAAAAGGCATTTTTCCTAGCCTGATTTGAGCCTCTGCTTTGAACGCTCTGTTTGAAGGGGCGTGTCTGCTGTGGGATTCAGTGTAACTGGCCTCTGCTGTGATTGGCTGACATGCTGCTTGCATATGAAATAGCTATGTATTACATATGAAACTCTCTCAAAAATACTTTTACTTTTAGTAATAACAACTTAAAATCATTCGAACAACTGAGAACAGATTTTAAATGATCAATAACAGATTTTTTCAGGTATTTGTCTCTAAATGCCAATCAGTGTCGAAGTGTATCTCCTTTGTGATGGAGAAAGCTCAATATGGATTACAGAATTTCATTAATAAATAAATTGTGTATGAAATGTTTTCTATACCATGTAGAATTTCATCCCTAAAAATGCAAGCACTGAAAATACAATGCAGACCCTTCGCTAAGCCCCGCCCTCCCTAGTTACTGTTGCTACGCCTGTCAAGCTTTCGCGGCTGGCACATCTATTATAGTGTGGATGCACCCGGTGTCAGACATTCCCAATGAGATAATTAGTAATTTTCAGCGAACAAGTGAAATATCTGAGAGAGCAAGACAAAAGGGACTGCAGTAATCCATTCGAGGGATATATTCACGACATAACATGCAACCGATTAGAGAATCATTTCTTAAAATTTGAAGCTAAAGCCTAGTCACAGCGCAAGCAGCAACTGCCTCATATGCTGACCATTCAAATGGGAACTACACAAATTGAGGAACAGCTATGTTCGTGCACAGCAGGGTATGTGAAAAAAATCCTAATAATTATAAATCAAACAGCTTATCCATAAATCTTGTGATAAGACACGATTGGCCAGTGGCGGTTTTCGGGTGTGGCTTAGCGAAGGGTCAATTGTATGCTTAATTTTATGTTAATTGTTAATTGTTTTATTATTGTTTTACTTCCATATTATTCATCACAAAGCTATTGCTACGGCACAGAATCTGCCCCTATACCTTAATGGACAGTCAGGAGGAGCCGCAACTACTGAGTACTAATTATTTCTCTTTTCTCTTGCCTCCTCCAGCTGCATTCACTATCTACCTTTTCAAAGGTAAATTAAAAACCATAAAAATAAAAGCTTTGTAAACATATGTTTGTGAGGGATGGCGGCTTGTGTTCTGAATGACAGTGAGGGGCGGGGCTTGTGTTCTTGACTGCCCGTGAGGGGCGGGGATTCTCCGTGACTGCCAGTGAGGGGCGTGGCTTGTCCGTGACTGACAGCGAGGGGCGTGGCCTGTGCTGCGCTGATTGACTGAATCAAACAGCTGAGAACGCGCATGTGATTGTGTAGACAGAGGGAAAGCAGCAGATGCAGTGAAAGAAACAGCAGCACATTAAAACATTAACCGATGAAGAAGAACGGTTTTGAGGCTAACACATGAAACACGACGAATCTTTGTGTGTGTGTGTTGAATGGTGTGATGAAGAACGAGGACGCCTGACATTTTCGTTTGTCTGTGTCAACTGTCAACTGATGAACTCGGTGCTCGAGGCTGAAAGGGATACGCGTTTGTTTTCTCACGGTGTTTATTTCCAGCGCCTTTTATATTTTGATGTTTGACCTCGTTTAATAATCGCCCGACTACACTGAAGACTAAAGGGGATATAGCCATTTTAAAGAGCTCGAAGAGGAGTATTCGTGCGACCCTTCGTCGTGTGAATCAGCTGCAGGAGCCGAGATGTGACATTTCCCACACGCGTATTAAACATCTCTCACAGCGGACGCTTTTATCGAGGAAGGTACGTGTACAGATTAGATATACTATAATAATAATCATCATATATCAGATGTATGCATTTGAAATGCACAAGAGCTGTTTTTGGGCAGGTGTCATCAAATGTCGTTGCTTATTTTGTTTCAAATATCGTGTGTGACTGTGGGTGTGTGTGTTTATTTATGTATCTATATATGAAATCAAATCATTCAAACATTAACGATGTGATTTATTCATGCAAAAATTACATAACGATTCATAAGATGCCTCTGTGAATAGGGTTGTGTAGACTAAATATGAGCAAATAATCATCACATTGAAGATGATTTGCGTATAACATCAATATAAGAATGATTATTTTGTATTCCTCTGCATTAATAATTAGCGTAGGCAGTTATACGGCAGTATTATCATATTGCTTAATGCGACGATGCATGATTATGTGACATGAGGAAAATGGGATCTGAAATCTAAAGCAAATTCAGGAGGAGAAGAGGATCGAACATTTTAAATATTATCACCCAAATTAATTTGCATGTGTCCATGCATTAAAAACTAGTCGCATATTAATGTTATAGCTAATAGCAGAAGCTGGAAAGCATTCATACCTAACCACTGAAAGAGCTTGTGTGATTTTGGGGTCTCTCTCTCTCTCTCTCTCTCTCTCTCTCTCTCTCTCTCTCTCTCTCTCTCTCTCTCTCTCTCTCTCTCTCTCTCTCTCTCTCTGCATTTCATTTGAGCATCCATGTTTCTAGTGTGCATCTGAAGATTTATCCTCACCCTGAGCTTAGAAACTTCCCTCCGCAGGCGATGGAGCCTTTTCTAAAAGCTGAAGTTGCTCACATTAAACCTGCATCTGAGGTTCAGCTCTGACTGATTCCACTTCAACTACAACACACAACATCTCTACACTCACACTTATTTATAGCAGACATGCACATCTAAAAATGCTTCTAGAAATGCATACAAAAATAAGCCTGGAATATCTTTTGCAGACTGGCTTATTATTCTTAACTATTTTGCGCAATTCAGAAAACATAATAGGCTAACGTTATGTATTTAAAACTATTATAAATGAATTGTGGTTTATTTGGTTGCATGTCCCGTAGCTATAATAATTTCTAAAAGCATCTACACTCATGATGCTAAATGTCGCTATGATGCAGCTGTTACCCAATGTATTTTGGTAGATGGATTTCATGTAAGGTCCTAAGAACATGTTTTGTTTATAAAAGGAAGCAATGTTGTTGGCATATCTATTTTATGTTTTTACTGCATTTTAAAAATGGTTTACATTCTGCATGCTTCATATAGTCTTTTTCTCATTTTTATTTTTTATTCATTCTATGTACAGAACATCGCTGGGTAAAAAAACAAAAAACATGACATAATCTCTACACAAAACAACAACAAATACTCTTAACTCTAAACTCATTCTAAACATCTCGTTTGACATTATTTCTTGTTTCATGATCATCCATCCAGGAACTTTAAAAGAGGGCTCCATGTTTTCATTTCTGTGAGCCAAGCAAACCTTATATGACATTACCAACCATTAGTGATGTATATAAAAGCATAAATCCTGTTAGAGGTTTTTGGTCTTACCGCCCAGCACAAACTCTCACTGTAGAAACTGACATGAGCATATTACTTAATTGCCTAGTAGTGTTTATGAATGACGTTCACTGACGTTTCATGTTGCTGACATCTAAAAAAGTAAAAATAAACATGCTAAAATGCATGATATAAAAGCGAAACAACTACTGATCTAAATGACGCCGCCACACTGGTATTGCCACACATTATCTTAATCAATGTGAAATCGTCTACATAATGACTGTGTGTATGTCTGAAGTCTCCCTGTATATTGGTACTATGCAAGCATCCTGAGCATGTAAATGGTTGTGACCTCCTGGCAGCCAGGAATAGACGTGTGTCCTCTGTAGTGGACGTCGAGGGAGTTTCTCCGACACTGTACACGTCACCGCTTTAAAAGCTCGTTCAGGGCTCTTCACAGATGCCACAGGTTCTTCTGCTTGCTCCTTACGAATGACTGACATTAATTTAGTGATCAAATAAAGCAGTCTTATGAAAATATGATAATATATTGTAATTATCATTTAAGTCGGATTACTTTTCAAATTGTATTTCATAAATCAACATCTAACGTTATGGGGTTTCAAATTAAAAAATGACTTTCTGTTTCAGAGCGGGTTGTTGATTTCACACACTCCACTGTAGAGACACCAGGACATGCATTCATCAGGCGTTCTGGAGACACAAGGGGAAATTATACATCAATAATCCTTTGAAATTTTAGATATTATTATTAAAATGTTGCCAATTATTACTCCCACTTTTGCTCTTCTTTTTTTATTACATGTTTTTAAAATTTTGGGTGAACTATCCCTTTAATGATCTCTATATCGCTTCAAAAGACCATAAACATTACAGACAGCGCCTGAAGTAGCAATTAATTTACATAAATATCGTAAAGAAGCGAGTTCTGAGCAGCTGATCATGTTGAGTCTTGGGTAACGCTGTCTGTGGGTCGGGAACATCATTATGGTGCTAGGACTCTCCCAGTGCTTCTCCTCCGGCTGGAACTTCACATCGCAGTGAGCAAACCAGTCATACAGTACATGTATATTTAGATCAGTGGAAACATGGTAGTGTTCACGGGACCTTTCAGACGGGCGTGTGAGGAAACTTAGGTTATGAAGTTAACAGTGCTCAGCTGTTTCCCATGGTTCCCTGAACCAATCCCAGTTTGTTTGTGTTGAGTAGCCTTGATTTAATATGAAAAGCTTTGTTTGAACAGATACTGACTGATAGGGTTCACTTCTCTGAGTATGGAGCGCACTTCAGCCCATTACTGTCGGAATGAAACGGAAGTTGAGATTGCCATTTTTCCCTTGGTTGTGACGTATATCGAGTGAAACGGCTTCTGAAATTAGAAAAAAATGTAGGGCGGGGCTTGATTTCATCCTTCGGGAATTGATTGGAGTTGAGCAATAGCACATTATGAGCATGCAGGACACGCAAGAAGCCATTTTTAGCCACTGCACGGTGTAATGTTTCGCTTAGGGGTGATCCGATCAGGATTTTTGGGGCCGATCACCGATTACTGGAAGCTGTATCACCCTTATACCGATACCGATCACCGATTACAGAGTCTATTTGAAGCCTTCTGTAGCATTATTATTAAACTATATTTAACAACAATGTACATTACGTATTAGTATTACATTAAGAGAAGACAATGTATCATGAATTTAAACTCCTCATATGAGTGTTTGCAATTCATGTTGCTTCGAGAAGCTAGCTCAGTAAACAGGGCATGAGAGCGCGTTGTGAGTGGGTGTGGATACAGCCTCCATGTTGCCAGATCCAGCTAATGGAAAGGTGCACTAGTCTTCTGGACCTGTTTTTCTGATTTAATGTGACACTTTAGGAAGTTATAAAGTGGAAAGTTACATGTTAGGGTTAGTGATATATTAATCTTATATTCAAAACACAAGCTTTGAACATATTTCGGATTATTATTATTAATTTGTTGTTTTTTTCATAGCAATATCTGGCAACATTTTACTGTTGGCATTAATATAAAAAAAAGCTTATGGACAAACTGTAATAGCATAAAGCTACCACATTCGGTAAGACAAATGCAATGATCATCGTGATTAATGTAAGAAATGTATAACACTATCAAAGACTATAGCATACAGATCTGTATGAATGAAATTTGCCAAATAACTTACTAGCCAGCTGGAAGACGGCTCATGTTGTTTAGTTAACCTTTCACAAAGTCATCATAAAAACATTAATTAAAGCAGTGTTTCTCAACTAGCAATCTATTCAGTCAGCATATTTGTCTTTTGATCTGTGTGAATTACAGAAATATAAGACTTGTTAAACCTACTTTTTTTCTATATTTTTTGCACAAAACTCTCCAGAAAGTGCCATTTAATGGTTTATTTAAAAAAATTTTTTTTTACTTTTTTCGTTGTCTTTTAAAGATCGACTGGGGGGCCCCATACTACCTTCGCCTTGGGCCCCCAATTTGCTAAATCCGCCACTGGTTGCCGCGGCGATCAATGGTTCAGTTTTCTCTGTAGCTCGCGGAGTCTTCACTCGAACACGCGCTTCCGTTGCGGATGGACTCTATACGCCTTATTCACGGCAGCGCCATCTTTGATTTTTAATGAGAATGAAAGCGAGGCTGTGAGGGATAGACTTGCATCTCTTCAATGGGCTGTACTGTTATTTAATGTGTTTTCGGATTGTTCTGCTCATGAAACACTGGAAAAATATCTTTCCAAGAAATGTCAGTTGACAAAAAACTCCCGACAATGTAAGCTGTGGAAAATTGTAAGTAATTTAGCCGCTTTATTCAGCTTTTTACAGCGGATGCCATTGGAAGCACGGTAAGTCTATCCCTCACAGCCTCACTCTCATACCCGTCATGGCGCTGCTCTGAATAAGGTCTATTCTTTCCGGTGATGTTACGGGTTGATCAGAGAGGCTGCACAGTTTGATCATAGACATATACACTAGACCTCACCTTGGGGTTCTAAGCATGCGTCAAAACCGCCGCCATCTTGGAACAGGGGTCTTGTCATAGGAAGTAGCAAGGTAACGCTGCTATCTCTGCCATTACTTCGAATGGCAGAGCTCAAAATCTTAATTTTTCACTTGTTTTGCCTGTAGCTCGCAATGATCACGTATGTCAGAATTAATGCAGCATGCTCTGAATGAGTGGAGGCGGGGCTCATTTGCATATTCATAAACCGCGAATGCTAAATGAGGCGAGGGTGTCGAGTTACATTCAAGCTTTTTAAGGCATGAAGACATTTTGTTCACAGGTAAAAACTTTTAAATGTCATTTTGGTGATCAAAGTTGGGGTGTGACGATACATTGCGTCACAATATATCGCAATATAAAAATGGAACAATACGTATCGTGGATACTGGATAGTGACAATATTGTGTATAATTCACCCGAAATAAAAATTACTGTGAGAA